GACCCTCCAGCCTGGGGCTGTGCCCGCAGCGTGCCAGGACCAGCCACAACGAGCATCGGGGCTCGGCCGTGCTAACGAGGTCACTCCCAGGGGGCTGTTTACCCTGTCCCCCGCCGGAGACCCCCAAAGGGCGCCTTGATCCTGCCGTCCCAGCGGGCTGTGGCGCGGAGCCGGCGCGGGCGGCGGGGGGGCCCGGCTGTCACCGGCTGATAACCCCCAGCGGCTCCGTCCCGTGCCCGTTATCAGCGCCCGCCCGCCTGGCCAGACGCGGTAATTAGGGCGCTCAACGTGAGCCGCCGGAGCACGGATGAGCACGCGTGGGCCCGTGCACGGGCTGGCACGTGCCCGGGATCCGGCTGCGAGAGACGTGCCGTGCGCGGCGGGGGCGGGGGCGAGAGCGGGGCTGGTGCACAGAGAGCTCGGTGTACACGGGGGTGTGTGTGCCAGGCTGGGGTGGGAACAATCCAGGATTCGGGAGCAAGGGCGGCCTCTCCTCTCTCGCCTCCTTCCAGACCCCGGTGCCCCCGTCACCTCCACTGTCAGCCACCACCGTGACCCCTCGTGCCACCTGGCTCTGCCCCTTCCGCATCCATCTGGCTCCATGTGCCCTCCGCTGGCCCTCGCCCTTCTCCCTCCTGGACCCTCATTCCTCTCCCTCCTGGGTCTGGGGGATTTGGGTGCCCAGCAAGCCCCCTGTGCCACCATTGCCATGCCCATCCCATCGTTCCCATCCTGTCGTGTCCACCCCTCTGTGCCCATCCTGCCGTGCCCACCTTACCGTCCCCACCTTGCTGTGCCCACCCCGCCGTGCCCCCGTGGCTCCCTGGGAGCAGCCGAGGCCCTGCCGGCAGTAACACAATTACTGTTACACTTTCCAGCCCTGGTCCCTCTGGCAGTGAATTTGTGCTGTGATTCGATTTCCGCGGATCCGGGCCGTGGATCCCGGCTGGCTGCCGCCATCCCCGGAGCCGCCCGGGCGCCGGCGCTCCCAGGGGAGGGCGAGGGGCAGTCGTGGCCGGAGACCCCCTCGGTGCCATCCTGTGGGCATCACGTCACCCAGGGCTGGCAGCCAGGGATGTCACATCCGCGATCCAGGGGGCTCCTGGTGCCTCGGTGCCCGGGAGCTGCTCCGGCGGTGCCACCGGCAGAGCCGTGCCAGGGTGTGAGGGCGGTGCCGGCTCCCCTCGGCACACACGGGGCTCCCAAAGCGCGTGGGGAGGGCTGTGGGGCAGCGTGCCCTGCTCTGGGTGGGGTACCAAGGGGACAGGTGGGAATGGTAGCATCTGGGCGTGCCATGGGCACGAGGGGGGCACAGAGGAACACCGGGGTGCGGGTCCAGGGTGCCTGAGCACGGGGCAGTGGGGTGCTGGGGTCATTCACCCACACCCCACACCAGGGCTCGCGGTGCCTCCCCAGTCCCCATCCCGGGGGCTCGTGGCCGGCCCTGCTCGGTGGCCGCAGCGTCCGGGGCTGGGCTGCGGGAGAAGGAGCCGGAGCGGGACCTCTGCGCCGCCCCACTTTATTATTGAGTTTAACCTACAGTCTTCCTTACATGCCACAGTGCCCGGAACTAGTGCAGAGGCTGCTTTTATGTGCAAATGAGGCTTTTTTTTTTTTAATCTTTGACAGAGAATGTGCTGTGTTTACATAACAGAGGGCCCTGGTACTCTGGAGAGGGCCACTGACAGTGCTGGCAGGAGATGTTAAGAAAGATCTAACATTTCTGATCTCTGTTTAGCCAGAGGCACTGCGAGGCGGTGGGAGCAGCAGGGGAGGGTGGCTCCGGGGTGCCCGGGAGAACAACTCAGGCTGTGCCCGCCCGGGGCCGGGAGGGCACCGGGGCTGGGGACCTGCGGCAGAAGGGATGGAGCAGCTGCAGGGATGGGGTGGCACCAGAGGGTCACATCGTGGGGGTCCCCACGCTGGGATGGAGGCCCCAGAGCCCTCTCCAACCCCACAGCGTGGGGCAGGGTCTGCCCTTCCCTTGGGCTGATGGTGCTCCCAGAGGTTCGGGAGCATCCGGCGACCTCGGGATTACCAAAAGCTGGTGGTGGAGCCAGAAGCTGTTGGGATGAACTGTCCCAGTTTCCCTCCATGATCCACTGCCACCAGCAAAGGGAATAACTCCTCCTGCCAGGTTAAGTGGAAAAATGACCAATATCCTCCGGCCTGCCAGGTTCAAGCGCATTAATTCCAGGGACTCGGTTAATGGCAGTATTGATTAGTCTCAGCACTGGGCTAACGAGCATCCATGCTAATGAGGGGTGAGTGGTGGGAGTTGCAGCAGCTGGAGCAGTTCCAGGGAGTTTTGGTTGGTGGGAGAGGGTAGAGCACCCCAAAAAAGGGCTTTACCTGCCTGGAGAGTGGGTTTGTCCTCCCAGGATAGGCTCTGGCACATGGAAAATGGAGTATTTGTGTGCCAAAAATACAATTTCCTATTGACATCTCTGTTTATTTCTGGACAAGAGAGTGATGTCATCAATCTGAGGGAAAAACCTGTCTGATCCATGCTGTCATCATGGCAGGATCCATCCATCTGGCTTGTCCATGCTGTGCTGGGTCGTCGTGGAGCAGCTAGCTCCAGGCTCATCCAGAGGGTCAGCCAGCTCCCAACTCATCCAGGGGGTCAGCC